TTTAACTTTGTCAAAACAAAAAGAGTAGAAAAGCTACACATATGCGGCCGCTGTAACGGAAGAGGTTCAACTGAAGAAGAAGGAGGCCAAATTTATGGCTGACACCTTAAGGTATTTCTTAAGTAGGCAGAAGAAAGAGACTCATACAAAATGGTAGAAAAGATGCAAAGGTAAAAGACAAACATTCAGACAAAAAGGCAGAAAAAAGCTTTCATCTTGAATCAACCGTAACTCTGCTTCCAGGTTCTCGCTTTTTAGTAAACCAATATTTGAGATGAAAATACTACGAGCTACCAGTTGAATTTCTTATTGTTTCAGAAATTTTTTTGTCACCGTGGCTGTTGTTTACTCGTGTTCTTTATTCGTTGTAAACACCAGCTTCAATAAAGAATTAATACTCATTAAAACAAAATAGACGTCAATGCTTATTCAACCAGCATATAATCCTCTTTGTTCTTTCGAGAAAAATATTTTGAAATTAAAAGCGACACCACGGAAGTTGATTAAAATCACAGCGCTTTATGCTCCAATGTATGCTCTTGCAAATAACTACGGGAATAGCGAAGAGTTTTCTTGGGATACTGACTCCTTCTCGTACGCAATGCTCTTTATATTGTGGACAAGTGTAAATTCGGTTTTGAATAAACATGCAGTCGATTGATCACAAAACAAATGCCTCCTTTGACAATCTTCCCAGCCAAATGAAAATCATACCGAAAACTCAGTGCACCCGTGTCTAGTCCAAAACAAATGCAAAATCAACTCATAGTACAGTAATTCGAACCCATTTCTGGGGTTGCCGACTCCTTGTAAGTTAGTTTAAGTTGTATGAGCTTTGGTGTTCTGGTCAATCAAGTTTGAAAGGATTTTTATGGCAAGATTATGTTCTACCGCTCGGGTTTTTCCAGAAATAACCTGGAAAAATAGCAATAATAAAACCCCTTCAGATAAACTTGGTTGCAATTTTGAAAAAAAATTTTTAAAAACAGAGGCAAGCTAAGTAGGAGATATCTCTCAAAGGCTCTTTAACAAATCAAACCCATAGAAATGCAGCAAATAACAAATCATATGCACGCCATTCATTTGAAAAGGATCTCGAGAGAGAATCACTCAGACAAAGGCTGAAAAATCTTTCATATCTATTCAACATAAAATAGTCGGCACCTTATTATAAAAGAGGCTCCTGAAAAGTGACGCAGATCTCGTTTTGCAAAAGAATTAATTAGAGATTGGGATACCGAGCTCTACCACTCGAGTTTTTTCGCTATTTCTGATTTACTGAATTTCTCAGAGTATGTTGTTTGTTCTCATTCCTCACTTGTTGTAAAAACCAGCACCGATCTAAATACTTTTGGTCGCGTCATAGAAAACTAATTAAAACAAAACATAATCCTCTTCAATCTTTGGGAAAAAGCCTTCGCATTCAACATAAAGGAATGCACCTAATTGCTCCTGAAAAATCCCACAGTTCTCGTTTTGTAAAATAACCAGCCGAAGAACCAAGCCTTACTGACCCGCTAGGTTTTTAGTTATTTTTTAATGTTTCTCGGAGTATGTTGTTTATTCTCATCCCTCAATTTTTGTAAAAACCGGCACCGATTGGAACTTTTCAGTCGCGTTGTAGAGGACTAATCAAAACAAAGTGTAATCCTCTATGTTTTCGTAAAACAAAGCCGTTTTCTAATGTTTGTGCCGTTGTTTTCTTTACCCAAGAACTGGATGCACAGCCATGACAAACTCGTTAAAGGTAAACTTATTTGTTCATTTGAAAAAAAAAAATTTTGAGAAACTTTGTTAAAAAAAGGATCGACATAAAATTGATATGCCTACGTGCAGGTTCTAGCAGCACTAATCGCAAAGGTTCTTCAACAATATATGGATTAACACTTGAATATTGCAGACGGTATTCTTCTGCAAAGGAATTCAAAGAAGAAAAGTGAGATTCACTCAGACAAAAGCTAAAAAATCTTTGATATCTATTCAACATAAATAGTCGGCACCTAATTATAAAAGAGGCTCCTGAAAAGTGACGCAGTTCTCGTTTGTAAAAGAACCAACTAATTGAGAAATTGAGATACCGAGCTCTACCACTAGAGTTTTTTCCGCTATTTCTTATATAAATTTCTCGGACTATGTTGTTTGTTCTCATTCCTCAGGTGTTGTAAAAACCAGCACCGATGTAAATGCTTTTGGTGGCGTCATAGAAAACTAATTAAAGCAAAACATAATCCTCTTTAATCTTTGGGAAAAAGCCTTCGCATTGAAATACCTCGAAACGCATCGCGTCTCTCAGCAGAAAACCTTCCCCATTGTTCTCCAAATGACCGTCGGATATGCCAAGAGTTATAGGTATTTACAAGTTTAGGAAAACTGTAGAAAGGAATATGAATCAGATTTCAGGGTGAAGATAGTGTAAGCCCTCTCCGCTACAAAAATTCCTTAACCAAAAAAGACTCACGCAGTTAGTGGCAATTTAAGCAGAAACGTAGAAACTATTCATTTTAATACCAACCATATAGATAAAAGGTTCAAACACTTTCTCCGATAGTCCATTGGGAAAAAAAGCCGAGACCTAAATGAATGGTAGTAATGAAGTATTTGTTTCTTGACGCATAACTAATGAGTCAATAATTGATAATAAAACGAGTTGGCACGTAGTTTGATCATTTCAGTTGCTCAAGACTCTTCAGTCCACAGCTCCTGAGAGGTGAGTTCATTGCATGTTAACCAGGTCCACTTTGAAAAGCACCGACATAAGTGCAATCAGTAACTCGTTTTGCATTCGGCCCAAACAGTTTTTCCATGCCACTTTTTTTCTTTCTCTTTTTTTTTCTTTTCGCATACCACCGAATGCAAAAAGTTGCACGAGTGATCTCAACCTTTGAGTTCCCTTACGTAGCTCAGTGTTCCAGCTTTCTCCTCGGAGACTCAGTGCCAGAGGTTGGCTTTGAAAATTTTAAGAGAGTCTTAAGCGGGTCCAACATAGGCTCAGCGAGATGCGGGAAAAAATAGGAAGGCAAGATCTGGATATGCTCCGTTTCGAAGGCGGGCTAAGAGATAGGACAAGTATAAGCTGGATCAGAATTTAGCTAAAGTTACGCGTCACCCGACATCACCGAGACATTAGAAAGTATTATCTGATTTAGCCTATATCCCGTGAAAAAATTGGGTTGACACGTCTGAAAGACTCCGTGGTACGTCCAATTTTCTTTGCATTAGTTACAAGTGTTTACACGACCCACAGTCTGTCCGGTTTTCTTGCCTTCATTATTATTTTGCTCTCACAAGTATGTCTGAGTAAACGCCCCTTTCTGTAGGATATTAACGGCGGTTCTTTGAAGATTTCTCTAAACAATGGTTGTTGCTATGCTCAATGCCACTCGCCCATAGGGATTTCTTTAGGGTTTAGAACTGTTGGATAGTATTGTGTTCTTACAAAGGGAAAGATTCGATTTTTTTTTATTTTTCCCTGTTGGAGGAGGGCCCGTTGATGTCCTTCAAATAGGGTATATTTCTGTATAAGCTCATAACGGCCATTGAGACGAGTATCACTTATTTTGGAAGCTTTGTTTTTTTTATGAAGTTGATGAAGTCTTTTGTATCTTTGAGATATGACCTCTGTTAATTGGTGGGCGATCGGCAGAATAATTTTATCAACTATTGTAACAATAGAGTTTTTCTGTTGGCCCTTCCGTAGGTGGAGTGTTTTTTTTTTGTTTTTGTTTTTTTTGTTTTTTTGTCTCAATTAAAAATGACCGTAAACACACCGAGAAACAACTACTTTTCAAGTCGGCTAAACATGCGTTGAGCAAGTATTTGCCTTTTTTCCGTAATGAGAGTACATTATCAATATTGGCTACAATTTGTCCATCAGTTGGCGGTGAAATGGAGCAACTTGGGTTTAATCCGGCCGGGTGACCTCTAAAATTGTTTTAAGTTTTAAAAAGAGAACCTCAATGCACAAATATATCAGCTCGCTCTACAAACGCTCTCTCCCGATGAAATGTCTGTTTCGCATTTCTAGAGCGCGGAGAGATTGCTTCAACAAACTGATCATAATGATTATATAATGCATATATAAGCGTGCTGTGTTGTATATTTCCAATTCCCTTTCCAGGTTACGGCAGTTATTCTGGTTTTAAAATTTTAAAGGGAAGCTTTGAAAGCAAGAACAAGCAGGTTTGTGCATAAGCCTTTAAGAGAGTCCCGTTTGATCACATGATTATCAGTTTACGCAAATTACTACTCGCCGGTAGAGGCGTTAATTACGTTATTCGTACCTTTAAATAACAGAACTAACGTAGCGATACCAAGTACTGCAATGTCAGTTTCTTATATCGTTTGCAGCGTGCTGCTGGAGTGATAACTAAGAGGTGCAAGACTTGAAATTAAGCGCGCTTGGATTGACACTTCAATTAGTTTTTATTCTCAAAGAAGAAGAAGAGAAAAAGTAAAGACTGACGTCCTCCGATTTCGCACATTATGTGATTTTTTTTTTTTTTTTTGCATCTCAATTGAACTTTTTTGTTTTGGCATTTCAGCGATCAACATGACTTGCATTGAGAAGATTCTCCTGGCTATTGTCATTGTCCAAGTAGCTTGTGTTATGGCCAAACATATACACAGGGAAGATGAATTTTCCCTAGATGACGGCACATACAGCAGTTTACGCAAACGAGCAAGTAAGTAGCTCTGCACTCCCAAACTTCGTTAGTTTTAAAACACAATGATGTGCATGGTACCAGTTTTTGTATACACATGGATTCTTTCTTTCTTTCATTACCCAGCATGCATGAATACTCTCGTCCTATCAAAAGGAACCAACAGCTGCATGATGTGTTGAATCAAATTTTTCCGTACAAGTTGACAGAACGATATCTTAGTTTAATAATAACAAACATTCCCCAAGTTTGTCCCAATCGAACTTGTAGACAAGAAGGTCTTCAAACTGCAATTCAAACCTGTGTCTTTTTAGATCTTTTCTTTTGTAGTTGGTAAGTACAACGTACTACATTGTGGAGTTTATCGCTGATAAGTATTCTGAAACTTGTTTTGTAATCTTCTTTCTCAAGCCGACTGTGGCAGCGGCGCTGAAATGGAAGGCGCCTACTCCAGAAAATGTCGATCTAAATGTAAGACAGGAGAGCTGTCGATCACTATACCAGCAAACGTGGCGATGTGTAATGGCCTGAAGTGCTGTATGTGTCACACGCGCTACGGCAGTTGGTAAGAAAAAAATACTGAAAACGATGGCCACGCAATCGGTATTATTCAATTTAAGCCAAACTGCATACAAAAAGACCTGATTGAAAATGTGACTATCAGGAAGATTTTTTGTATCTCGTCAAAATACATCATTAACCAACCCACTGATGTTACTACGTTTTACTTGCAATTTTTTTCTTGCGAAATCCAAACCATGAAACTTTTACGAAGTTTCAAGCCTCACTTTCCCAACTATACTTCTCAGTGGTTTTATCATCCCACAGTATCACAGCATTACGTATGAATAGCACAACTTCTTTAAATTAAGGATAAAGGGGGTACGTTTCAAAAGAAACTGTGGTGCTACGTCGGTGGGAGAGTATAAAACTTTTCGCTCTGACGAAGGGCTAAAGCTCGAAACGTCAGCCTTTGAACTCTTTACAGTGGCCAATTTAAGTTTTCAACTCAGTTGTTAACTCTAAATCACCCCTTAGATGAAGAACAAGGAAGTTAAACTTATATATATATATATATAAGTATATCTATTGAACGACCAGCCTATAAAGGGAATCTTAGTTGATCAGTTGGTCAGTGATCCGTGATCAAAAAGTGTCTCTCTTTAATGAGAAAACAAAAGACATGCATTTCATGTATATTTTCAAATTGCAACGTTTTTGAAAACGTGTGTATACATATTATTCATTATACTCCTTTTGCATGATATTAAACATATCGTAGATCCGTGAAAGGATGTTACAAACATTGACATATTGATAACGGGGTAAGGAGTCGAGATCTTTCGCAAAAATACGAGTATAGCAAATAACGCAAGTGGATGTTTTTCTTTTTCTCTGCAGCACCGTTGAAAAGTAAAGTTTCTTAAAGTGTGGCCTCCATCAAGACCTGCAGTAGTTTTAGTGTTACAGTGAAGTTAGACTTTTAAGGACAAGTTTGTGTGAACCAGAACAATAAACTGAGCAATAAAAGCAATTGGTGGAGATTGGTGTGTCAGTCTGGAGTTTATAAGCAGACCTCAAAGATTCTACTCAATAAAAAATAATAACTGTATATATAGCCTAGGATTGTTTTTTTTTCGGTCTTAGCATTACCAAAATCGAGGGAAAAGGGTCTATAGAAAATTGAGTGGCAATAAGAATCATTAAGGGGGAGGGGTCATTCGAATTCCACGGAGCCTTAGAGGGAGATCAGGAAAATCTTACTGTGACACATCCAAAAAAAAAGGAAAAAGGAATTGAAAGTAGACAATAGAAATCCACTCGGACAAAGGCTAGAAAAAGGAGTCCAAATATATAATCACACATGCACTGGCTGAAAAAAATTATTTGTGTGGCTGAATAAAAATACAGCAAGTTTACCAACTAAACAAGCAACGATCACCTTCGCTTATTCTGTTTGCCAGTCTCTGGGGTCCATCCTCCGTACACCTAAACTTCATTTCATGATTGAACTTGAACAAAACAGCCACTGACCAATAAAAAAGTGGCCTTTATTACAATTGCAGTAGCTCTGTCGCCATACTAGGATGTTGAGGACGGCTATACGTCAATCAATTAAAATAAGAAAAAAAAGAAAATCGCAAAGGTAAGTGTGGCAGTCTAGAGTTAATTAATAGACAACAAAGATTCTACTTAACAATAGAAAAATAAATTTAATTATGATATTATCAATAATAATAACAATATTAACAATAGAAAATAATGATCGTCGTTATCACTTTAACTACTTTATCCTCGTAAAATCTCCTTAATGCTGTGGTAAATAATAATTTTAAAAAAATTCAAGAAAGGCGAAGGCGTAAGAGACAACTGTATAAAAGATAGATCCAAAAGTTCCAAAATTTAGTGATAAACATAGAGGTTCTGCACGAGCAATACTCTGAGAAATCTGACAACAGTTGAAATCACCCTGTTTAATCTTGGTATTCTCAGTGAAAGCTCAACTTTTATCAGAAAAAGAGGCTACCGCCATGGGGAGTCCGGTTTCCGCTGTTATTGCTAACCTCTACGAGAAGAGTTTCCAAGAACAGGCGATAACTGTATCATCCTACGAGCCTAGGATCTGGAAGCGCTACGTGGACGATACCTTTACCATCCTAGATCGCGAAACTTGGATGACTTCTTACAGCATCTAAACAACCAGCAGCCTTCCATCCGCTTCACCATGGAGACAGAGAAAGACAACAAACTCGCCTTCCTAGACAGCGCAGATTTAAGAGAACCTGACGGCCAACTCGCCATCAGCGTATACAGGAAGCCCACGCACACCGATCAATACTTAGCGTTCGATTCACACCACCCTCATTCAGTAAAACGCGGTATTGTTAAGTACCTTTACGAGCGCGCCAAACGTCTTGTACCGAAACCCTCCGTCATCTCCGAGGAGAAAAAACACGTCATCTGCTCAGGTTTCTAATGGCTATCCTTTTTCTTTCTTGCAGAAACTTACCAAGACTGGAAAACCAAACAACAG